ATAAAAACGGCCAATGCGACGAACTATCAACATTTATTGTTCGTCGGTTATGCGTCCTCAGTATAAAGACGGACACAAGACGCATTATGCGTCTAGACGAACTATCATCGGTTGTGCGTCTCTTACAAGTGAAAATACAAAAAGTGTCCCACTTCCGCTTCTGTAGTTTGTTGTGATTTACTGTAATTTGTTCTGTTTTTTTGTAGCGATTACCGATTTATCGGCAAATACCGCGATAAAACTTAGTTTTTTCTATTTTTAAATATGATAATTTGTAGCAAAGAAAGGGAAATAATACATTTTTCGTTAGTTTCATTGCATAAAAGGAACGAATTTTAAATTTTATTGCAGTATTTGCCGATAAATCGGTAATCGCTACAGAAAAACAGAACAAATTACAGTAAATCACAACAAACTGCGGAAGTGGGACACTTTTTGTATTTTCACTGTAAGACGAAGAATCGAACATAGTTCGTCTAGACGCATAATGCGTCTTGTGTCCGTCTTTATACTAAGGAAAATTTAGCTGAAGAAATTTAGTTAAAGATCGAGCGGTAAATTATCATTTCATTGGAATTGTAATAACGTATAATGTAAACAAGCTTTCGTTGATAGGGATGCAACTATACCTGAAAAATATGAGGAGAATTTTGATGTTTTGAGCGAAGGCCCTTTGTCTGGAGTTACTGGACCTTACTGGAGTTATAAATTCCAGACGAAGGGCCCTCGCTCGAAACATCAAAATTCTCCTCATATTTTTCAGGTAGTTGCATCTCTACCAACGAAAGCTTGTTAGTATTACTGGCATTACCTACCTATAATGGTTTACTATTCTCAAATGTTGACACTTGAGTAGAGTTTAATTTCAAGAAAATCTATTCATTTGCTCCAATGAAATCTAAATCCGCGGAAAGGAGGATGAAATTTTTACCAAAAATGACGTCACTGCCGTTGCTATGATAACGATGACGTTTAAATGTAGCCTTTTAACTCGGAAAAAACAATGGTGATCAGCATTTTTTATTTCGTTATACGGTTTCGATTAATCAGAAAATAATTGTTTAATTAACCAACTTTTAAAAAATCGCCAGTGTAGATTTTTAAAAATTAAAGAGTACGTGTTTTTTTGCAATTAAAAAATTTCTACACTGGCAGTTTGATCATTTTCACTAATTCACTAATTAAAAATGTGTAACAAAATAAAAAAAGGAGGTCATCATTGTTTTTTTCGAGTGAGTTTAAAGCCAAAAAATCGGCCATATTGAAACGTGATCGTTACCATATCAACGACAATGACATCATCTTTGCTAAAAAACTAATATTCTTCTGAGTTCTGGTAGCATTTTCTATAATTCAGATACTATTTGCTTTTCAACAAGTAACCATTGTTCAAAAATTCCTATTTATATGGTAAATTTTCCTCTATTATTATTAAAACGTGCAGCAATTAAAATATTAAAGCGCACCGCCCTCGAATAAGCGTCGCATGCACTTAGTCACAACAACGTTTGAGAAGAGAAGGTGTCTCAATTCTTTCTTACCTAACTTGCTCTCTTTTTTAACCTTGGTTGGCCGGCTCTCTTTCGAGTGTCAATCTTTTGCTAAATAAGCGCCGAATCGGAAACGCGAAAAATTTGAATAGCGCCGTTGCGCTTTACGAGTAAATACGGTATTAACTATTAAATAACTCATTCCCATTGGCACCCATCCACATTCGAAAGATTGGAGTATAGACTAGGTTTTATGAAGTCATCGCAAGTGTACATACAAATCAAATGTACGTGCGTAAAATATAACATGAAATGTTCATGCCATCCTCTTTATTAGGCCGTAAATTTATGCCGTTTAAATCAAAAGTCAACATATTGACAGAGTCAGAAACCATTTGTTTTGTATATTTTTAGTTTAATCCGCAGTCATTGAAATGGCAAGGTCAATGCTAAATAGGCAGGAAATCTGCAAAGTCTTTGTACTGGTCATCGTCAATGAAGAATTTACTAGTCCTTATCAGCGCCGTTTTGGCGCTCATCGTGACAGAGGAAATATAATGGCATTTTGTAAAAAATATCCAAATTTTACTGTCAATGATATCAGCGAACTAAAAAAGTTCAATGATACGACAGATGGCATGCAGCAAAATATTAACACCACGGAACTGGCGTTAACTAACGATGGCAAGATAAAAGTAGATGACCTTACAGCAGGCGAAATTGAAAATCTTTTTAAGGCCATTTCTGAGGGAGATTACAGAACCTACGATGCATTTATGTGCTTCATATCAAGTCATGGAAACTTGAGGGGAATTGTAGGAGCTGATGGTAACACGTTTAGCGTTGAAGATATTCTTGGTCGTCTCAAAACGTGTCCAACTTTGGTAGGCAAGCCAAAGCTTTTCTTTACCCATAGTTGCAGAGGATACATGACAGCCACTGGGGTGACGCCGGTTTGTCGGGGCAGGGTGGTAGCCGATCATGGATTCCCAATTACTATTCCCATGGAAGCTGATATACTGGTTGCCTTTTCAAGTATAGATGGGTACGCATCATATAGAGATGAGGAGGAAGGATCATGGTTTATCACTGTGTTGACGAAGGTTTTAAACGAGCATGCACACGAGATGAATTTGACCGACATGCTTGCTATAGTCAACGAACTTGTTTCCGGAATGGAGTATAATTCCTGGAAACAAATGCCGTGTTTTATGAGCACCTTGAGGAAGGTTGTCTATTTCAAAACCGAATCCCGTGAAACGCATCCATCTTCAGAAGAATTACCTACAGCTTCAGGAGAATTACATTGAACTTTAGACTAGAATTACTAGAATTATAAATGAATGTTTTAACTATATTGGCTTAAAACGTTGCATGCACAACAAGACTTAAGTTTCATTTTAAACATGCAGGGGTGCAGCTACTAGTTTTGCAATTTTATATTTGTTTGAATTTTATCGTTCCAAGAACTCACGTAATAATTTAAAGAACACAAAACACTCACTTGGTCTTAGACGTTATGATCATAATTTTTAATGTTATCAATTAATGCATGTATTTCCTTTGTAAAAGTAATTAACATGGTCATACTAATCGAATGATACGCTTTTTAACCTTTAATAAAGACATTGTTTAGTGTTTGAGGAGGTTGTTGTATTAAAATTATTTCAAGCAGCTTCGTCTAAGCATGCATGCAAGTAATAAAATACACATAACAGGCCTGCTATGTGCTTCATGTTTGTGGATGTATGTAGATGATTTAGCCTGCGTCTTGCTACTCTGATCCCAGAAACTCAGAACAGCAAAGCCAAGGGAAACGAAACGCGATGCAGGGAGCTTCTCGTGCTTTCCATCCATGATGTCAGTGCACAGAGTGATTCAGCTTCAATTTTTAGAAAAAATGTTTTAAAACGATAAATTGCCAATAAAACAAAAGTATGTATTCGTTCTCAGGCTCTTTCTCCGTTACGCTCCTACGTGCGTTGGCAACAGCAATTTAACTGACATCGTAAAAATATCTTACTGACATGCTTGTGATGTTACTCTGTGTGTGTATCCACACCGGGCAGGCTTGAAAAATATGCCCGGCCACGGTGGGAATCGAACCTACGGCCTTTGGAATACTAGCCCAATGCTCTACCAACTGAGCTGCGCGGTCAGGTCGGTTCGAGTATGTGATATTTCGGAACTGAGTCTAGTTCCTTCGATATCAGTGTAAT